TGATAACTTTGTCAAGAGTCATGTAGAAGATAGGACAGAATTATTCCGGTTGTTTTTCCCCACAAGACAAAACAACAACGATGTGGGTTTAAACCAAAGATGTCCAAACTCGGCCTCTTTTAAGACCTGTGGACTTCGACTCCCAGAATTCTCCAGCCAGTCTTGTTATCTGGGAATTCTGGGAGTTGAAGTCTGGACATCTTCAAATTGCCAAGGTTGAGAAACACTGCATTAGACTCTGGTTAGATATCAAGAAAAAAAAAGTTCTACGATAAAAGCTGTTCAACAATAGATTTCCTCAGGAGGCGAGGGCCTCTTTTTGGAGCACAAGGAGAGCCTTTATAGTTCATTTCGTATTTCCTGGACTAGATGACCTCCAAGACCCTTTTCAAGTTGTCCACTCTGATTCTGTGAAATAACAAATCTTGGAGGGATGAAATAATATATTCAAGGGGGCTTTCCATGAGAAAATGGCAGCAATGCTTTCCCCCCCCTCCTATCTGATCTTCACTTGCGTGGTTGAGCCGCCATGAGATGACGGATGAGGTGCACTTCTTGGCCAAACCAACGTCTGAATGCAACCTCTCTTTATAGGCCCCGTGGGCGTCAGGAGCAAAGAGATCGGAAAACACCGGAAAAACGCAGAGGAAATCTTCAGTGGAGCATTAATCCCAACCAAAATGGCTCCTGCTTTGACGGTGGCAACGTTTTTGACTAATCGTTTTATTTATGGCCGCAGGAGGAATTAACGGGCCTCTCTTTGCGGCCAAGGACACGCACAGCCCTATTAAGTGCAGCCAGAGAGCCCCTTCTGACTCAGAGGGTGGGTGTAAACCAGGCTGAGTAAACCATGAGTAAACCAGATATAACCCTCGGGGACAGCGCCGTGCCAACACTGCCATGAGCTCCGCAGCCGAGGCTTTGCTAGAGATCAAATAAGGGAGACGTTGAGAGCCGCACGCATTTCAGGCCACCCGATTCCCCCAGTGCAGAGATTGCAATCGTGTAAGAAGAAAAAGCAACATACTTACTTGGGCATCTTTCCCGGCTAGTTTACATAAATCCACTTTTTCCTTTGCTGCGGGCCAAAATATCTGCAATTCATTTAGAAACGGGTCTTAGGATCAGATGATTTTGTTATTCTTGACTTAAATTATATTTATACATTCACTTCTCTATTACATCAGCATCCGAAGACCTCAATGCAAGCATGAGGCAGCCTATGACCAAATCTCTACCTCCCTCTGTGCAGGCCCAACCCTCACGCTCAGGACGGAGCTGGCATTCAACCGGGAGAGAGGACCCTCGTCTGCCTGAAAGGTGTCACTTCCTCCCCCCCACCCCCCAGCAGTCCCATGAAAAAAACAACAATTTTGCAATAATTTCAGGTCTGGACAAGAACGGCATGGACGATGCGTTCGTTTTTGTTAAAACGCTGATCATCACCTTTCAAAGAACAAGATTTTCCTGGCTCTCAATATACTAAAATCTGAATGTGCAAAATATTTAACAAGCACTAAGCACATTCAGTAAAATAAAATATGCAATCAGCAGCTACCTTTAAAATTAAAATTCGGATAGAACGCATTAAAAGTCCTGATTGCGTTTTCCATTTCCCATTCTATTATCTTATTATACATAAAACGGAAAACCTGAAATCAGAAAAAAAGAAATACCAATAATGGAAAGTTGTAAAAGTGTAATTGGGATTTTAATGTTTGGAAAATGTCAAATAAAAAACTCTTTAAAAAAATCCTGATTGCATTACAAATGCCTCCTGGAGAAGCATCCATTCGTTGGGTGAACTATCTATATCTCCAAACATATATAATTGTGGGTAAATAAAACGCCTGAAAACCTTTAAAAAATTACATTTTGTCTTCCATTTTTTCAATGCCCTCCTTCCATTCCTCACCCAACTGCCTCGGATTATTATTATTTTCCCTTCCTTTTTTTATTTTGAGTTTTATTTCTTTTATTAGGTAGTTTCATTTAAGCCTTCGTTTTTGTTAAGCACACTGTTCACACATTACATTTGCATTTAGATTTTATGCCTGCATAAAGACATGCCTTGATAATTAACAATCGTAAAGATAAAAAACACTTAGAATAAACTTTGAGATCTGTTATTGACATTCACTTATGACAGTACTTATTTGTAAATGTATACAGCTTTAGCGTGCAATCCCTATTAAGGCTCCATGTGAATGGAGTTTGAACCCTAAGCATGAACATTTTTGCTATCCCCAGAAAAACTGGGCCAAGTTTATAACCGTCTTTCAATGACATGAATTTTAAATGTTGGCTTTGATTTAAACTGCATCGTTTTATTGTTATAATTTATGTTCTTCTTTTAATTGCTGCAAACTACCTTCAAAGCTGGTGTAAACAAAAAGGCAGAGCATAATTCTGGAGAGAGGGAGAGAGAGAGAGAGAGAGAGAGAAAGAGAGAAAGAGGGAGGGAGGGAGAAGTTTGGAAGAATAAACCTTCAGTCCCAGGGACCGACTCGGATTGGATCAGCCTTTAGAAATTAAGTCAACTACGTCATCAATCCCTTTTTGAAATTGTTGAAAGCACATCAGACAGAAGCAGCTTAAGGCTGGTTCTCTTTTGTTCTCGATGGCAGGACAGGGAATAACAAATTTTTGGGAGACGGATTTTGTACGACTTTTTGAGAGCCTTTCTAATTGTACGGCCAGTTCAGGAGGAGGGTAGATTTCCTTACCAAGGAAGGAAACTAGATGGTCATTAAGCAGACTTAACAACTCAACAACTCCTCCCCATTCCATGACTGTAGGAGACGAAGCTGTGGCTCCTTCCACTCACGCTTCACAGCCCGTGGCCTTTGACACTGGGATCAATCCGTAGCTGAGCCCCTTGGTGACCCATGGCCACTGATAAGCTTTTCCTCTGTGGGACTCCTCTGCAGGAGGAACAGGATCCTCCAGATGGAAGGGGAGACACCAGGCGTCCCATAAATCTGGAGCTAATGAGCCACACGTGATAGGAGCAGGGAATATTTTCATGGGGCTGATTTACGAGTCCTTTTCAAAAGCAAAGCGGAGAAAGTGAAGGATGGCTCAGATTGTTCCTGTTATGTTAAAAAAAATATATAGTCGCTGCTTTAATACTGAGATTGCAACTCAACTTAGAAGGGAGACAGCAACTCACAATATGTAGAGTGACAGAAAACGGGTAGCTGGCCTAGTGATGGATTTACCACTGTCCACATGGGTGGAATGAAAATGTCAGATGGCGAAGGAAGAGGAGAATGGAAATCAGATGTGGGGGGGGGGGCAAGGCAGGACTCGGAGAACAGGCGCGACTCTCCCTCCTTAGTGCTGAGATTCTCCAGCTATCTGTACAGGGGCTGAGATGTGCTTGAAAAATGAAGTTGTTCTCTCACTTGTATGGCTCACTTGTCTTTATTCCTTTAGGCAGGGAATTTCCAGGGGAATTGCTTTTTTCCCAGGACCAACTCTAAGCCATGTTAGTCCATGACATCCAGAAATGAGAAGGCACCTGGCCAGCACTTTTACTGACTGACAGATGTTATTAAGAGGCATTAAGAGGTTCAGCTCTTAATGTCCAGCTCACCAAAGGGTTTACTAAGAGTTCAGCTCACCAAAGGGTTTACTAAAACCTTTCAGTAAAATTGCTAGCTATTCAGATTCCTCCTGAATCTTCATAAGAGGTTTTCACGGCTCATGGACAATTCCAATGGAAAATGTGGCACTGAATATTTCTATTTATTTATTTTTTAGGTTTATATGGCCACCCATATTTCAAAAGTGACTCTGGGTAGCATACAACAATTGAGTAAAAGAAATATATAAAAGCATTCACTATAAAAATATCAAGGATCATTGTTGACATTGAAATGGGCAAATCACAAACAGCAATAGCAATAGCACTCAGACTACCAGTGCTTTTACAGCCCTCTCTAAACGGTTTGCAGAGTCAGCCTCTTGCCCCCAACAATCTGGGTCCTCATTTTACCCACCTTGGAAGGACGGAAGGCTGAGTCAACCTTGAGCCGGTCAGGATCGAACTGTGGGCAGTGGGCAGAATTTGCCTGAAATACTGCACTTTAACCACTGTGCCACCAGGGCTCCGAATTGTCCATTGAGCCATGGAGCTGTTTTAGGTTGCCACCAGAGCCCTGGAGCCCCAGGCCCGGATGACAAAGCCTGCTCTTGAGTGGCTTCCTGGACGTTGAAAAGGATGGAGCTGACCTCACTTCAGGTCCTTGCTTAAGGCAGAGGAAGAAGTCCAATGCCTTGAATCTGTCAAGCAAAGGTGGCATCCACAGCCTTTAGCCTTCTCCAAGCCAGCTGGCTCAAAATAAGAGAGCTCCATCTATTTATCTCTTTGCCCAGATGTACGTCAACTACATCTGGCCTTCACAGGCCCTTTCGTGTTGGCAGCTCGTCAACCTTTTGTTGTTCTTCGATAGCAACACATCGTAGCAAAACCAGGGCGAATGTCCATGTCAGCTCCGCTGTGTCTGGAGTGCTGAATCCCTATTTACATTCCCAAGTAACAAAACATCTTAAAAAACATGCAACAAACACGTCAAGATAAATAAATATTTTAAATGAGTCTTCCACGCTGTATTTAGGGAGGACTTTTACCGAATTATCCTCTGTCATTGTGGTGAAATCCCTGAGTTGGAGAGTCATATTATGGGCAAAGTGGAAACTGAGAAGAATCTATGGGGGGCGCATGGTTGTAACCAGATATCTGTCCTGATGCTCAGAAGAGGCAATTAAAGCTCCAAGTCTCAGCATTGCGTCATGTAGCTGGGCTTCTCCAGGGAATCCCTCAGGCTGACTGGTTCCTTTCGGAGAGCATCCATTTTCTGGAGATTTATAAGGTACAACAGCATTTATTTATGGGGGAATGTATGCAGACGCTTTCCTAACTAATAAAAAAAAATGACCGTATTTATTCCACGGTCCCAAATCTCCCCCTAGAGCACTCCATTTCCTCGTGTTATGTTAAAGGCCAGGATTTTTCTCTTTTCTCGCTTTGCACTCGTTCGCTGCAGGAAAAGCACTTTGTACAGCCTTTTAATTCATGATGTTTCCCTCTGGGGTCTACCCCTACGGAGGGGATTTTGTCCGATGACGCAATTTCAAGGCACGCGAAGGGCCGGATTCTCCCAAAGGATGCAGTTTCCTCACCTACAGGAAGCTCTCAAGTGACTACGTGGCCTCTAGCCAACACAAACCTGACTGGACGAACACAGCACAACACACGCATTGCATTCCGACACTCATCTGCTACCAGGAAGCATCTTTCGAGCCTGTCTCCTTTCACGGGGCTTTGACGGACAAAATAGAAAAGAGATATTGATGGGAGGGGGGGAGTGTCTCGTCCTAGAAGCATAAATCCACATAGAGATATTTTAAGAGGCAGGCTGGATGCCAAAAGACCACAGCATCTCCCTGAGACCACAATTTAGGGAGAATAATTCAGAACAGGAGATCACCTTTAAGATATGCTGCTGTGTGCTAGTGGCTCCCGATGAAGGTCAGGGAGAAACGTATCAGAAACAGGCCGGCTGTAAACAGAGGCCCATGGGGCAGCCTGACTAACCACATCCAAGGAAAAGCAGGGCCTACAGAAGAGGAGGCCGCAAACCTTTTGGCAGTCTGAAAATCCCCAGGAAGAATGATGGTGCGTGCTGCTCAACTTGCATTAGCAATAGCAATGGCAGTTAGACTTATATACCGCTTCATAGGGCTTTCAGCCCTCTCTAAGCGGTTTACAGAGTCAGCATATCGCCCCCAACAACAATCCGGGTCCTCATTTCACCCACCTCGGAAGGATGGAAGGCTGAGTCAACCCTGAGCCGGTGAGATTTGAACCGCCGAACTGCAGCTTAGCAGTCAGCTGAAGTGGCCTGCAGTACTGCATTTAACCACTGCACCACCTCGGCTCTCGGCGTTGGTAACAAGGGTTGAATGGTGAAGCAGATAATAGCTAGGTTTAACCTTTCAACTGGAGTAGAGAGTCTCCATAGGATAAACCAAGCTTCTCTAACCAGGCGTTCTTCAGATGGATTGGGAACCACAACTCTTGAGAGATGCATTTCCATCACATCTTGAGGTCCAGCCTGGAAGTTCTAGGAGAAGAAGGCTGGCATGTATCTCGCAGCATCTGCCTGAGGCGGTTCCAGTCCACCCAGACTGAATTGCTGAGGTGGAGCACCCCGGCTTCTTGGCTACAGAAAGGAGCCATGTTATCTTCATGTTGAAGTGGACCTACTTCACTTCATTACAGCCTAATGCCTTGTTTCCCAACCTTGTCAACTTTAAGCTAAGTGGATTTCTCAACTCCCAGAATTCCTCAGCCAGCAGGGCCGGGTCTAATGTCTGAAGAGAAGAGTCACTGATGATGTTACCTACTTGGGTAATGGAATGTGTGCAAGCAAAGAGCCAGGCACAGAGGACAGCAAGGACTCCATAGTCCAAATGCCTCTATGTTTTTGCCTTGTTGGACCATTTTTGAGAGATTGCTGCCTCTGCTACAACAGGGAAAGGGTGAGCTGCCATCTAACAGAACTGTTGCAAAAGACGGCAAGGAACATGTTTGCTGAGAACTGCACCCTCATAAATCATCAGAACCCATCAGAAGCAGAACAAGAAAGAAACGATTGTGCTCCAAAATGGGTAACTGCATCTTAAATGAGGTTTTTTCTTTTGAAAGTCTAATCCGAGGGTGATTTGAGCGCACACATTTTCCCTCTTTCAAGTACCCAATTTGGAAGAGCCAGGAAAAATATAAAAAAAAAGTCCTCGTGTTTTTCTTCTTAAATGCATCAACACCTCTTCTTCCATGAAATCTCAAACAGGTATTTGATTATAGTCAAACCACTTTGGATTACGCCAAATGCCTATTGGGATTTTATAGGATTATCATCACTCAGCCCCTCTGATACCCATCTAACATCCTTGGAACTCCTGGCAGCAAAGCCAAAGGCATTTTCCCCCTCGGACAAATAAAGACGGTAGCAATAAACACTCAGTTGGGCCTTCAGCATCTCTGCACAAATGCGCTTCTCTGCTGTTCTTTAAAAGAACATCTGAGCAGAGAGCCAGTTCTGAAAAGGAACTAGAATCAGTCCAGGAAGAAAAGAAGAAGCTAAATCAAACGTGATGCCTTCCTCCCCCGTTAACTCCAAGGGCCCCAGGGTGTTTTCGATGACTTCTAACAATAAGGACCGTCCTTTCTCTTCAAGGGAAGGGAAATAGGAGTCGTTCTGCCTGAAGACTGACCCTGTTTGCATGGAGCTGTCATAATACCCGGGGAAAGACAGAGAAAGATGTTACAACTGTTTACATTCTAGCTCCATCGAGGGCAAACGTCCAGCTGATATTTATGCTATTATATTGCTCTCCTACTCCGCGGGGTCCGCAGGCTGACAAACTCAGTTCATTAAAAGCAAGCTACGTAACCCTGGGGGGTTGGATGATTAAACCCACAGGGCGGCGCAGGACAGATGATCCCATATTTCCACAAAACCAGGGGGAGGAAGCAGATCGATTAAGAGGCAGACCTGTTGATTCTGTAAATACGGGCGCACGATGATCGACTGACCTTCTTCCCATTTTTGTTTAAGTCGACCAAGCTGAGCAGGAATACGTGGTCCTTGGCGCCAAGCAGGAGATGACCCCTTTCTTCATCAAGGAGCAAAGTCCGAAAATCCAGCCCTTCCGCCGAGCCCAGGAACGGGATGCAGCTGTTCGAAAGCAGCAAGTCTGTGAGGGAAGGAAGAAAATCCCTGGAACTGGGAATATATAAACGTGGATCCCTCATGTCATCTATAAATATAGGCACCCAGCAGGATCTTGGTTAAGACAAGCCAGTTGAGTTAGCAAAGATCTCTTGCTAGAGGGCAGAGGAAGGCTAGCACAGCAGTTGCTGGTTTTTCCCCCCGCATAAGCTTCACATTTATCAAAACTGAGATTATGTCACCTTTATAACCATTTGGAACTTTCAAGCTTGGAGAAAATATGTTCACAGATCTGGTACAAAATACGCAACTTTCCACCTTCAGGCTACTGAAGTCTTTGGCTAGATAGTCATTCTGGCTATCAAGGCAGAACTGCCTCCACTTTGAACCAAAAGAGTACCAAACTGTGGACTTGAGACTACAAGAAACATCTGGGCCAGGGGTGTCAAACTCACAGCCCGCAGTCCAGATGCGCCATGTGCTGGCCCCGCCCCCGCCCGGTCTAGCAAAGGGGGGGGGAAAGTCCCAATACATCACATGACGACACCATGACACCATGAGTTTGACACCTCTGGGCCAATGTTCAGAACAATCTTCATTGAAAAAATGTTATTTCCCCCCCTTCTTTAATGGTGTGCACATGCCAATCCCAGAGAGGTCCCAGAAATGGGCTGTTTTTTGCAAAAACGAAGGTGCTTTTGCCTTCCCCAGGCCCCAGAAGGACTCTGTGGGATTCTGCAGAGCTGGGTGAAGGCAAAAACGCCCATTTTCTGCCCATTTTTGCAAAAGGGGGGGCATTTTT